GGAAGTTCCAGGGAGATGTAACACAATTTGGAAAATTACAAGGAGGAAGACGGTCTTGGACCCCACCTCAGACGCCACCGCGCCTCCTTCTCCTCCGGGCCTGGCAGCCGAGACTCCGAATCCCAGAAAGCCTCTGCCCAGGCTCGTCGCAGCCGGGTCCTTGGGCCTGCAGGGGCCTGGGCCTGGGGGCACGGCTCTGCCATCCCCCCGCCCCCCAAAGCCTGCCTTCTCCACTCCACTCAGCCTGCCTGCAGGGCTCGGCTCCAACCTCCCTCCTCCAGGCAGGCCTCCCAGCTACTCTCTCTGGCTCCCTCCTTAGACCCCAAACAGCCTGACTTTGTCTCCCGAATCTGGGCTACTGTGAGGCTCATTCTCTTCCTCCTCCTCCTCTGAGGCCCGAACTTCCCCAAGATGGGACAGACCCTTATCATGATAAGCAAAGAATACGCATAAAGGGCAGCATTTCAAATGCCTACCAAGGGACAGGCATGGCGACGGTGCTTCCAGGAATGTGATTTCATTCATGGTCTCAACAGGCTTTAGGAAGTGGTATCACTGCAACCCCCGTTTTACAGATGAGGAAACTGGGGGTCAGGGAGGTGAAAGAACCTGCCCAAGGGCACGACTTAAAGTCAGCGGCGGAGCCCAGGGCTGGCTGCGGCGAAGGCCCGGGCTCTCAGACACCGCACCCTGCATCCCCGACGCCCTCGGGACGACTTGGCCGAGCCCCAGCCGGAGCCACACCCAGCTCCCGCATCCCCTCTCCGGGTGAATCCCAGACTCAGACCCTGCCCGGAACACCGTGACTCACCCTGCTCTGTAGCTGTCCCCCACCCTCACCTGGAGCCTCCAAAAGGCGGGACCCCAGAACCCTCGGATGCCAGAGCTGAAGGTCCTCTGGTCCCCTCGTTGGCCAGAGGAGGGGGCAGGGGGCCTGAGTCCCGCAGCACCAGGCGGGTGAGGGCCAGGCTGCCGCCCAGCGTTCTTCCCAGGGCCCCGTACGTGAGGTTCAGTCACCCCAGCTTTCAGGCTCCAAGCCCCCTCCTCACGGCTCCCAGGGCTCCCTCTGCCTTCCCCCTGCCGCCTTCTCATCTTAAGAGGAGCTGAGGGTGCTGTCTGGGCCCAGCTGCTGGGGCCGCTCCCCCTCCAGGAATTTCCCAGGGGAAAGACCCCATGGGTTCCAACAGCTGCCAAGAGGCAACCATGAGAGGTGCCAGCTGCCCTTCCTCCCGCTCGGTCCCCAGGCCAGGGACACCGGCCTGCAGGCCCACAGCCTGGGCAGGCCCCACTGGACACCCCGGGTGACCCCTTCACCACTCTGGGCCTCAGTTTCCCCACTGTAGGGAGGTAAGTCTATTTTTACCCTGGCTCGAATACCTTAAGGTTCTGGGGCTTTCTCATCATTTGAGACCCAGTAGCCACCCCCAGTCTCCTTGGCCAATCTCCCCACGCTGCCCCCCACCACCACATTCCATGGCCTGGGGCCCTGCGGCAGGGTCGGAGGGAAGGAGTGCGCAGTCAGCCTTGACTCAGTTTGACCAGGAAGAGGGAGAGGTCTCAGGCCCGAAGACGATACCGATGGGCAAGGTGGACCCCACAGGAGGTTGGGACTAAGATGAGAGGGTAGAGAGAGGGTGGGTACTCATCCATTTAGAGAGAAATCAGCGAAGCGAAGTCTTTAAAGTCATAGAAAAGGCGCTGAACTTGGGGAGGGGCGCCTGCTATGGAGTCAGTCACCAGCCATGGCACAAATCGGTGTACCTCACTCTGCCTCAACGGGCCCTCGGCAGCCCCCTGGCCTACTGCACCCACGCAAGCCCCGAACAAAACCCGTCATCTCCTTCAATCTCCCAGGACCCCGTGAGCAAGGTCTATTACAGTGATGGCGAACCTTTTGAGCTCGGCGTGTCAGCATTTTGAAAAACCCTAACTTAACTCTGGTGCCGTGTCACATATAGAAATTTTTTGATATTTGCAACCATAGTAAAACAAAGACGTATATTTTTGATATTTATTTTATATATTTAAATGCCATTTAACAAAGAAAAGTCAACCAAAAAAATGAGTTCGCGTGTCATAGGTTCGCCATCACTGGTCTATTACTATCGTCCCCATTTCACAGATGAGGAAAGCGAGGCTCCCAGAGGTAAATAATTTGGCCAAATCAGCAGCAGGACTTGACTGCTGGAGGCCAGGTGCAGAGCCGATGCCAACCCCCGCAGCTGGTCCACAGACCAGGCCCGCGCTGCCCCACAGCAGGAGGCCCCTCCTTCAGCGCCCGAACGCCACCAGGAGGGCAGTTCCCAGCTCCCCGGCAGGATGTGGGCACGGCGCCCACCTGTTCTTGGCGGGGGAGGCTCCGCCAGCCTGGCCAGGAAGGCTGGACCACAGCTGCCACCCAGATGGGCAGGACATTCCATTTCCCACCGCTGCCGCCAGGCCAAAGCGCCCGGCACACAGGTGCTGGGCCACCGTCCACCGCTCCCCTGACCTCAAAGCCAGAGGCCACAGTGGCACAGTGCCCCAGAAGCCTGCCTCTAGGATGCCAGCTGCCTCCTCTCTCTGACGTGGGGAGATGGCCCCAAGGCCAATGGTCGGCAGACAAACGACAGAACCCAGCAGCATGTCAGCCTGGGCCCCATAGAAATAAGGCTCTGCTAAAAAGAAATCAGACTGGGGGCAAAGGACGATGCCCGCAGGAATGCCAAGTGCAGCCACCCCCGGAGCAGCTTCTGCCCACCCAGAACCTACTGGCTAATCGATAAGACAGTGGCACTGAGCAGGCCTCTCTTCTCTCTCCCTCACACAACATCTCAGAGACCACATCCGAGCTCACCCTGCTGGTGAGCATCAGGATTGAGTCCAGGGGCTAAAGGCTGGGACCCTGGGTTCAGATCCCAGCTCTGCCACTTGCCAGCTGTGTGACCTTGGGCAAGTCACTTAACCTCTCTGAGCCTCATTTTCCCCATCTGTAAAGGAGATCATGATAGCACTCACCCCAAAGGGCTGAGCGGATTACATGTTAGTACATGAACCCTGCTTGGAGCTGGCCTGGCACATGGCCACTCACAGAAGTGTTAGCGTCTACTTGTATCATCATCAGGCACTAAGCCCGTGGCTTTCCACACCCACCCAAGAGCCCAGCCGTGCAGGAAGGTCGGAGCCCATAGCTTTCTTCCTTAAAACCTCTCG